TACGTTGGACTTTTTTAAAACTGCTTAATCTTTTACCTTTTTCCCGTTCTACTGGGAATATTCAAATTAATATACCACATATTCGTAACTCCTGTTTTGAAAAATCGTTTGTGGTTTCAGGGCCTGAAACTATTTGCCGGTTGATTTACGCATATTTTCTCACTCAAATAATGCTTTTCGTTTGAAGCTTAGAATGTACTTATCAAACCACACCGACTAAATTCAAGTTTCTCTTCTGTTGTTCTACAGTACAAGTATAACATTTTTATACTTATGAACATATTATAATATGAAGTAATAGTACGTTTACATTGTTCCGGATTTCGTTAACCCAGTGGGTTTCAATTGTCAATTCCATTGCATACATATCAAATAAATCCTCATAGAGTAGATTAACCCGGTAAAAAGTTCTAATGTAAATTTCGTTTAATTGATGCTTTGGGATATGTTATTGCTAATGGGACTTATATATATATATATATATATGTGACACCTATAATGTAAATAAAGGCTGGGGAACCAAATTCAATTCACTTAGAATTAAGATTTTAGAATTAAAATTCAGGTTATGTTTTGCAATGAAATATATTATATTTGGCCATGAAGGCTTTGGTTTACAATCAGGGATGGTCCGTTTGGCGAATTTTTAGGTTTTCGACTGTCAAAAAGGTGTAAACGTCGAAAACGTCATATACCTGTATAAAATGTAATAAATGTAGTAAACGTCATTTATTTTAATATTATCAGTATATACAGTTATTTTCAAGAATATATATTATTTTTACATATATCTTACTATTCCTTACTAGAACTGATGTAAATTTTGAAATTTTTTTGAGAAGAAAATTTTGAAATGTTATATTAATTTGAGTAACAACGTTACCTAAAATCCGACGGGGCGTACAAAAATAATCAACTTCCCCACTATGGCAAAATGTTGTGTACGGCCGTATTACCCAAATACGTCGAATTCATATCTTCAAGCAAATAATACAAACCGCAAAACAAAATTGAAAATTTATTAAATTAATCCACGTATTTTAAAACTCCTTGTACATTAGAACTTTTTACCGGGTTAACCTACTTTATGAGGATTTATTTGACATATATGCAAAGAAAATGACAATTTAAACCCACTGGGTTAACGAAATCCGGTTAAGTGTAAACGTACTGTTAGTTTCTATTCGAAATTTCAAATTTCCAGAATGTTTTGCTTTTGTTTTCAACAAAAGAAAAAATGAAAAATACGTTCTGTCAAAGTTGAAATTGTTCAACTTGAAATTTTGTACGTTCGACGTATTTCGGTAACATTCATATAAATACATGTGTTCTACTTTTGTGGTGAAAAACGTTGAACGAGCTAGTTGAATTTTAGGTAATTCTGTAAAGCATGCGTAATTTTCAAATTGATTAATGGAAATAGCTATTTTGTCAAAAACCAAATGGATTTGGGTAGGTTTCGGACGTTTCTGACGTATGTATTATACGTCGGAAATGTATGTCATTTACGTCACTGTTTCTGACCGGCCATCTCTGCCGATATTAATAAATAAAATAAAAATAAATAAATATTGAAGTATTGCCATCTAATTTTGACATTTTTACAAGTTTTGCGTTCCAGAACATTTTGTATGATTTTGAACTCTGAGAGCGATTTTGACATTTTTTTCTTTCACTAGTTTTACTATGAAAAAAGTACTGGAACCAAAGATATCCACATTTCCTGTAATTGTGCCATTGCCAGTTGTATGAAATTATGAAATTTTTTTTATTTTATGAAAAATGATGTAGTGTTTCAAACTTTCCCAGTTGGCAAATTTCGAAAATTGAATAAGGACTACAAATTGATAAAGTATACAATTGATGACTTACAAAAATAAATGCATATGCTTAAATTCTTTAAAAATAAAATAAATGTTGACTATAAAAAAGCTATTAAGACATATTTAATTGTAGAAAAAATGTCACAAACACATAGAAGAGAAGAGCAACCCAATGGGTTTTAATTGCCAATTCCATTGCATATGTGTCATATAAACCCTCATAAATTATGTTAACCCCTAAGGTAAATGCCGTTTTAATTGACATAGACAAATCTCAATATCCTGAAAACATGTAGAATTTTGGCAAACTATTGAGAGTTTGTACCAGAGTAAATATCAAGTCCATAATGGCTATGTGGCATTAACAATGAATGGGCCAATGTGTATTTAATGTATGTGCAGTCCAAAGAATACAAGATTATATCCTTATAGTATAGACGTCTCCCATTACTGTAATCTGCATTTACCGCGTGGAACCCCTTTCAAAAGTTCAAGGAACTTTTTTTTGTGTAAAAACATATCATATTAAAGGAATTTAAGGATTTGATTACACTTAAATTTAAAAGTGGAAAATTGTTCCATATTCTTCCATTTTTAGGTTCATTTATTACTCAAATATAAGAGAGACCTAAGAAACACGGGCCATTACTTAACTGGCTTGTGACAGAGCTTACGTTCCATAAGCCAAGCTTAAAAAAAGATTTCCATGCGTGTCGTTCTTTTGTGCAGTTTTTCCAATTTGAAAGACCATATTAGACAATGTTATCTTCCACTTGATCTTTCCATCTTATTCGTGGCCTTCCCCTTCTGCGTGAACCATCAGCTGATTCGCTTTTATATGCCTTCCGGATTGGGGCATCTACATCCATGATACCATCAGCTTGGTATTCTCGCCGTTTAACAGACCCACTTTGGCAGACTCCTCCTCAATTTGTTCAAAAATGGCTGTTACCGCTCTCAGTGTTCGACCCATTATGTCGATGTCATCGGCGTAGGCGAGTAATATGTGTTGTTTGGTGTACAGAGTGCCATTTCTGTTCACCTTTGCGTCTCGTATGACCTTTTCCAGCAGGATGTTAACCCTTTCAGTATTTTTGTCGAATATATACGACATTTAAAAGTACTCTCTTTCTTTGCCATTTTTCAGTTATCCTATGTACCGTTACTATTGATGGCAATTGCTATTTTTTTTCTAAACTATGTTACTTTATACTATGTTCCTTTTTATTCCGACAAATGTTTTCATTGACACTGAAAGGGTTAAAAGGGTCACACGACAAACTGTCACCTTGTCTGAATCCTCGTTCCGTATTAAAGGGCTCCGAGAGGTCCTTTTTGACTTGACCTTGTGCCACTTAAAGTTATCTTGCATATCCGTATTAATTTTGCAGGAATGCCAAACCTAGACATGGCTTTAAACACCTCTGAACGGATAGGGCTGTCGAATGCGGCTTTATAGTCGACGAATAGGTGGTATATGTTGTGGGACTTTTCCAGGGTTTGGCGCAGGTAGAAAATCTGGTCAATGGTGGATTTGCCAGGTCTGAAGCCGCATTGGTATGTTCCAAAAATGTCATTGACCATTGGCTTCAAGCACACTGGATAGCACTTTATATGCGATGGGAAGATGCGATGAATAGTTCGGCTGGTAACGGCTGCTTTATTGTTCTTGAGCCGATTAATTGTTTTTATGACCTCATCTTGGCTAGGTGGTATACACTCTATACCATCATCTCTTATTGGTTGTGGTGTATCTTCTTTACCGCCACTTTTTGATACCAGAAGCTTTCCAAAATGCTCCTTCCAGATCCTCAACACACTGTTTGTATATGTCACCAGGTTTCCTTCTTCATCTCTACAGGAGGATGTGCCTGCACCAAAACCTTCGGTTTGGTGTTTTACTCGTTTTCTGACTCCTGTACATCTCGATGTGCTCACGCTCACGTTTTTCTTGTTCTTTCTTTTTTATTCTGAAAGCACGTTTCTCCTCTCAACTTTTCTCCCGATAATTCTCCATCACATTACGTGTTGCTACTGTCTGCAGGGTTGCCCTATACGCTGCGTTTTTCAGATCAGTAGCATTTCGACACTCCTGATGGTACCATGGGTTTCTTGGTGCTGGTTTTTGGTACCCAAGTGTTGCTTTTGCTGCAGTATGTAGGGAGTGGGCAATTCTTTGTCATTGTGCTTCTATACTATTATCGGGTTAAGAAGTGCTTTCATCAAGCAGGTAAGTTGAGCGGAGTAGGCTTCTGCTATCTATTGTGTTTGCAGCTTTTCGACGTCAAATTTCCGTGTTACATTAGATCGCATCTTTGCTGCTACATTAAAACGAGTGCGAACCTTGGCTGCCACAAGGTAATGGCCGAATCGATATTGGCTCCTCGGATCTATCGGACTTCTAAAAAACTGAATGTCTTTCGTCTATCACAACATGATCGATTTGATTTCTCGTTGTTCGATCGGGAGAAATCCAAGTGGCCTTGTGTATATCGAGATGCTTGAATCTGATGCTGCTAACTACCATGTTTTTTTTTGCTGCCGCGAAGTCAATCAACCTCATGCCGTTGTCGGATGTTTCTTCGTGAAAGCCGAATTTTCCCACGGTGAGACCAAAGATATTTTCCCTTCCGATTTTTACATTAAAATCTCCTAGCAGAATTTTAAAGCCATATGCGTTTCTAGGCGCTCGTAATATATGTCTTTGGTCTGCTCATCTTTGTCTTCGGTCGGGGCATGGGCGCAAATAAGACTGATGTAGAAGAAATTCGCTTTTATGCGGATTATAGCAATTCGCTCATCTACTGGAGTGAATCTGGAGACGAGGTATTTTATTCTCCCGCTATAATACAGTGCGTAATCGTTTGATTTACTTACGCCTGTCCCTTTCCATCGCATTTCCTGTAAGGCAATAATATCGCCTTTGTACTTCTTGAATACATCCGCCAAAGCGAAAACTGCTAAGTACAAAACTATGTTTGGAAAACGTTTGGAAATAAGAATTTACCAGAAATTTAATGCCTTTGCAAGTGCAATTTTGTTGGCAATGGTAGTATAAATTATGAATATAGCCTTTGTGTAAATATATTACAGTTACCTTTTGACTTCTGAACATTTTTGGAGGTGGATAATTCGATTTTCATACTCTGTAAATGTTGTACTTTTCTCCTTTCCAAGGTTATGACATCTGTATCCGGTCATCTGTTGCAGCTAGAATTCCTGAATTCATATCGTAACTGGCAAAATGTTGATCCCGAAAGTTTATTTGATGCTCCTATCCGAAAAGGTTGCAATGAACAATATCAGCCGATTAAGAGGACATTAGAAAGAGAGGTACGAGGATGTCAGGGATTAATAATATGGACGGATTGTGATCGTGAGGGTGAAAATATTGGTTTTGAAATAATTGATGTTTGTCGCGCTGTTAAACCCAATATCGTTGTATACCGAGCAATCTTTTCTGAGATCACAGGAACAGCTGTAAAAAGGGCACTACAAAATCTTACTATTCCTGACAAGAGACAAAGCGATGCTGTCGATGTTCGAACCGAGTTAGATTTGAGAACTGGAGCCGCAATAACACGATTTCAAACGATGCGATTACAGAGATTGTTTCCTGAAAAAATTTCCGATAAATTAATTTCTTATGGTAGCTGTCAAATTCCAACTTTAGGATTTGTTGCCGAGCGGTACAAGGAAATAGAAGCATTTGTGTCCGAACCATTTTGGAAAATAAAAGGTAATTGATAACACACCGTTAGATATTGTGAAACATTTTTTTATAAAAACAATAAACTGGTATTCAGCCTGAATATTTTGCAAAAACAAAATATAAATGGTATCCCAAAAAAACCCGCCAATATTACTACTGACATTCAGCGATTTCGATATTTACCACAGTTTTTATTAATGTACTGCAACGTCGAAAATGACGAAGTAAGCGTCACGCAAAAAGCGAACATTTTCTATAATTGTTATTATAATGCATTGAAATGTTTTAAAAAAAATGATTTGTTGACTTAACATTTGTTGTTTTTCCAGTAACTCATACGATCGATGATTTAACGGTGGAATTTGTTTGGGCTCGAAATCGCCTTTTTGACAAGCAAGCATGTGAAGATTATTATTTGCTTTGTATTGCGAATCCAAAGGCCACTGTCGAAAGTGTTACGGTAAAACCGAAAAGTAAGTGGAGGCCAACACCTATGGACACAGTGGAATTAGAAAAGTTAGGATCACGGAAATTAAAACTTTCTGCGAAAGAAGTTATGACAATTGCAGAGAAACTATATACCAAAGGTATAATCAGTTATCCTCGTACTGAGACCAATATGTTTTCCAAAGAAATTGATTTACGATCTCTCGTACAACAACAAACCCAACATGGAGTTTGGGGTTCATTTGCAGAACGTGTTTTAGAATGGGGACCAAATCCTCGAAATGGCTCAAAATCCGATCAAGCGCATCCACCGATCCATCCAACAAAAATGGTAAATGGTAGGTAATAGCAACTAAAAAGCCCCCTAAATCTACGTTCTTCGCAGTTTAAATTTTATTCGTTTGCAGATCTAAATGGAAATGAAGGCAGAGTCTATGAATTAATATGCCGCCATTTTTTGGCTTGCGTCAGTAAAGATGCTGTTGGCTCCGAAACTATTGTAAATATAACAATCGAAGGGGAAAAGTTTTCGGCAAATGGCTTGGTAATATTCGAGAGAAATTATCTGGACGTGTACATATATGAGAAGTGGAATGCGAAGCAAATACATAAATACGAAGAAGGCCAAGTTTTCGAACCAACAGAAATAACAATGCCGGAGGGCCATACCACAGCACCGCCTCTTTTAACGGAAGCAGATCTTATTGCCTTAATGGAAAAACATGGAATAGGAACCGATGCGACGCATGCCGAACATATCAATACTATTAAAGAGAGAGGATATATAGGTGTTGTAGACAATGGATCACTAGTACCTGGCGTCATAGGGATGGGCCTATATGAAGGATATGATGCTATGGAATTGGCGCTAGCAAAGCCAATGTTGAGGGCTGAATTTGAATCTGACCTAAAAAAGATATGCTTGGGCGAAAAAGATCCAAAAACTGTTTTGAGAGAGCAAATTGCCAAGTATAAGCAAGCCTATAAGCAGATAATGGATAAAATAACAGCCATGGATGAGAAAATGGCGCAAAGAATAGATGAAGCTCCAAAACAGAGAGACGACAATAGTACGCAAGGAACGGATAGCGCACAAAACAATCCGAAACGAATACAAGAGGTGTTTACGTGTCCGAAGTGTTCTATTGCGCCTCTAGCATTGAAGCAAAAAAATAACAAACCAGGACATTTTATTGGCTGTCTCAATTTTCCGAATTGCAAAAATTGCATTTGGTGGCCAGATGAATGTAAAGATCCTTCAGTTTTGGATGAATATTGTCCAAGGTGTGGATCCGAGTACAAACTAATAAAAATGCGATTTTCTCTTCCCTATCATAGGACATTATTCAATAGTCCAAGTGGTTGGTATAAAACTTGTTTACAATGTGATGCTCAATTCCGAAATACTTTCAATATAAATATTGAATGTGTAAAACGCACGGGTCCGATAGTTAGCGATACACCAATTAATTATGGTTCCGTCAGCCCCATGCCTGCCGCCACGACAGCCACCAAATCAAAGAAAACCTCTACTAAAACTAAAGAAAAACCTGCAACGTCGAACGCCGCATCAAAACCTAGAAAAACGTCTGAGAAAGCAGCGAAAAAAGATAAAAAAGTAGCAACGGAGACCACCACAATTAGATCATATTTTACATCAGGTGGATTGAGCTATTTTTTTTTTTAAATTATGGCAATGCTAATTGGTTTTCATTCCAGCCCCTACAAATACTGTCGCAGATTCTGAATATAATGGATTTTTTGATAGCAACGATGGTGATGATGATGAACTTCTATTAGCAGCCATCCCAGAAACCACAAATTCCAATCAAATAACCGTACAAGAATCTCGGCTCCCTGCTGATATTGCAGAAATGTTTAATGATGATGATGACGAGTTGTTGGCCAACATTCCCATGGATGTTGATGACGATCCAAAAATAAATGAAAATTCTCTAAGCAGACGTCAAAGCACAAGTGCGTTAGTTCAATCGAATGATATTTTTGATGATAGTTTATCGGCTGTCTTTAACGATGATAATGATTTTGGTGATGACTATGTTTGGGGCAGTTCGGCAAGGAATGCCAACATTTCGAAAACCACAAATGTTACGGGACAGATTGCAAAAAGAGCAAAAATTCAGAGTCTAGAATCAGATGACTGGGGATCTAATGCCACCAGATCTACATATAGCCAAGCAGACGAAAATACTATTAAATGCAGTGGTTGTCATTTAGCCGCAAAAGAGTAAGTGATAATAATATTTTAATCAATATTTTACAATAGCAAAATAAATCTCAATCCATATTAGATTATGTGTAAAAAAAGATGGCCCAAATAAGGGGCGTATGTTTTACGTCTGTTCGAAGACTAATCCCTGCAAGTTTTTCCAATGGGCTGATGAGGTCAACGTAAATCGAAACGATTTGGTGACAAATACATCTGAATGGGATTATGGAACGGGAACTGAAAATAATAATTCTTCGACATATACTGAACAAGCAAACGTAAATTGCAATTGCAATCAGCCAGCCAAAAGCTTGACAGTTCGCAAGGAGGGTCCAAATAAAGGGAGGGGTTTCTATGCTTGTTCGAATCGCGACAGCTCTTGTGGTTTCTTTCAGTGGATTGATGATGACGCACATCAAGGTAATGCTTTATTAAAGTATGTCATACTGATTATGCTGATTTAAAATTTTCTCTCAGATAATTTTGCATGGGGTAGTGGATCATCGACATCAACAAAAGGTAAGTAGTATACAATTAAATTGTAATACGAATAAAATATTTACTTCTATTTTAAAGCTAAAAAGAAAGTAATGAAACCAGAAACGAGTACAAAAGGACGTAAATGTGGGTTATGTCGGCAGGAAGGACATAGTCGACCGAAATGTCCTCGCAACTCTGAATTTTAGTATTAGTTCCTACAAATGTTTATAGTTTTGAATTGCACACTCAACAAATGTATTTGTTTATGTTTTCCAATGTATTAAATTCATATGAAATAAATGAAATTAAATAAACATATGAACAAAACGAAATGAATTGTGCGCGTTATTTTTGCAAGTTTTGCAAGGAAACCGATCAATCGCTCGGGCGGCGTAGGGTATGATAGATACCAAGCAACGGCTCTGATTGGCTTTAACATGGCGAAGTCCAGGCTATTATCTCAATTGTGGACACTGATCTCCCCGCGGTGCCACCTGGGGTAGCTATTTTCATCACCCGATGAAATAGTGAACTAATATGTGCCGCGAGTTCACCCATAAGAACTATAAAAAAATGGGTTGAGGCGTCGGGTTAGTTGCCCACTCTCGGAAAGCCCAACCTACTATGAAAATGCAAAGAAAAGAAAACCAAACCCACCTAATGTTGACGACCCCCGCAAACGTATAAAGACTACGATCTGCGAATCTGCACTTGGAATGTGCGCACGTTATACAGAACAGGCGCAGTGTTCGCTTTAGCGGATGTACTCAAGAAGTACAAAGCCGATATTATTGACTTACAGGAAATGCGATGGAAAGGGACTGGCGTAAGGAAATCAGAAGATTACGCCCTGTATTATAGCTGCCATGAAACGAGACATGAATTTGGCTGCGGATTTATGGTTAACAGGAGAATAAAAGACCTCGTCTCCAGATTCACTCCAGTAGACGAGCGAATTGCTATAATCCATATAAAAGCGAAGTTCTTCTACATCAGTCTCATTTGCGCCCATGCTCCGACCGAAGATAAAGATGAACAGACCAAAGACATATTTTACGAGCGCCTAGAAACAGCATATGACCGTTGCCTTGGCCATGACATTAAAATTCTGCTAGGAGATTTTAATGCAAAAATTGGAAAGGAAAATATCTTTGGTCCCACTGTCGGAAAATTCAGCCTCCACGAAGAAACATCCGACAATGGCATTAGGTTGATTGACTTTGCGGCAGCAAAAAACATGGTAGTTAGCAAGGCCACCTGGATTTCTCCCGATCGAACAAAGAGAAATCAAATCGATCATGTTGTGATAGACAAAGACATTCATCCAGTGTTTTAGACGTTCGATCGATCCGGGGAGCAAATATCGATTCGAACCATTACCTTGTGGCAGCCAAGGTACGCACTAGTCTTAATATAACACGAAAAGCTGCAAACACAACATATAGCAGAAGCCTACTCCGCTAAACTTACCCAACTGCTTGACATCGACATTGTTAGACGCATTGAGCTGCAGCGACTACGATGGCTAGGTCATGTTGTGAGAATGGATGAAGATGCCCCAGCCCAGAAGGCATATAAAAGCGAACCAGCTGATGGTTCACGCACAAGGGGAAGGCACGAATAAGGTGGAAAGATCAACTGGAAGACAACATTGCCGAATATGGTCTTTCAAATTGCAAAAACTGCGCAAAAGACCGTTCCGCTTATGGAACGAAAGTTCTGTCACAAGCCGGCTAGGTAAGTAAGTCCTTGTTATAAATATCTAATTTCGATATTTCCAAAAAATGTCAAAACTTTATATTAAAAACTTTTTGATCAATTGTAACACTTTGTAACTTTTTCGATTTATATATTTACCCGTGAGTACCAGTAGACTGATGATGAAAGAAAAATAATAAATACATGAAGAGTTATTTTCAGCAGGGTGATAATTTTTATTGCTTAACTTTAAATAATTAAGGTTCAAAAGACACATAAATTAGTGTAGTTCACACATTAAAATGTAATTTTAAATACGAATATATGTAAATAATCATTAACTCATATTGTTATTTTAATATTTTATGTTGTATTTCTTTGAATATAACATATACAATCACATTTATATTCAATGTATTTTAGACGTACATCATCATCATCATATGTAAATTTATAATTAGATTAACATAAATAATTTGCATACATGTTTAGTTTAATTATGGAATGTCGGTTTGAGATATTCTTTCGTAACACCTAATGGAATGACTATAGACTATAGATTTTTATTAAATATTCCATATATAAATAATTGTAAAAATAAAATATAAGAATTAAGTACATTTTTAAAGAAAAATTCGATATAAATTCCGCATTATAATGAAATTCATCATAAATATGTTGTTTCGCATTGTAATGCTTCTTCCATGTTCCATTTGTATTTGTTAACATCCATATATCAATAATAATTCGACATTCACTTTTTAGTTTGTAAAAATAACTTAATTTAATTCATTTAGGTGATTGTTATCAGGCGAATTAGTTATGTAATAAATGGTGTGAGGTTACAAAAACTAGTAAACATGGATAGCAAATGGGCTTCTGAATTTCAAAACAAGTTTTTTCTCCAACATAAATATTTTATTGAGATTGAAATAGGGATAACTATTAAAGCAATAAAGAAAATAACATATTTCAGACATTCAACCTAAAATCTCAAGATTTATATATATATATATAATATAGGAATATATAAAAATAACAGTGAGCAATGAATAAAAATGTATATCTTGTATTTAATACAATAATAAATAATTACTTCGAGATAGAAGTATTTTCTGTAAATGGTAAATGCAAAGTCTACATTAAATAAGCGAATATCATATCAGCGGCGCATTAATTTTTTTATTTTTGAGCTAAATACGGTACGATTTAATCACATTTTTATATACAATTTTTAACCATATATATGTATAATTTGATTTAATATTAAATTTAATTCTATTGCACTACTGTATGACTTTACACATGTAAACCCATATTTTAGACATTAATATTGAATTTAGGGTCGTACATACATTCCTGCGTATTCGCATGGCGTAACCAGAAGCGTAACCATCCTCATTTGGCTGTTAACAAGTGTAGGCAAGTTGTTGACAATATGCAGACATGTCGCCACTATTTCCTTTAGGGTTAGTACTTGATATTTTGTACAAAATTTTGCAAAAAAAGTTCAGTAACAAATAGACATTCTGAATAGAATTTTGTGTTACTAAGTTTCAATAACTTGAAAAATTTACTCAGCAACGTTTTTCATAAACAAAAAACAATTAATTGGCTTTTTACATTTTTTTATTTTCATAGTTTGAACCAGGGTGCGAAGAATGATTAAAATACGCTCTTTCACACGAATGCTCACGGCGAGAATTCGAATGTTTTCAATTTATCGCTAATGATAAAGCTACAATGAATGCACAAGCATTTGCATTCTTTCGCAAATGTTCGCAATGTACGAAAAATTCGCGAACGATACATTTCGCTGCAAGCGTAAAGAACATTCTTTTGAAAAACTCAAAAAAACAAATATTTGCGAATGCTCACGAGCACTGTTAAAAACAACAACAAACAAAAATATCATAAAAAATGTAAACACACACAACGGATGAATGTGTGTGTAGCAGAAAGTGTGGAATAACCAGGATGCGAAGAATGATTAAAATACGCCTTTTATCACGAATGCTCACGGGCGAGAATTCGAATGTTTTCAATTTATCGCGAATGTTCGCATTGTACCTAAAATTCACGAACGATAAAAATTTCGCTGCGAGCGTCGCCGATTCGTTCGTTCGCGAGCATTTGTTGCTGAAGAAAATTGTTTTGAAAAACTCAAAAAACAAATGTTGTTGCCGTTTTGAACATTCGCGAGAATTCGGGAATGTTTGTTTTCATTCGTGAGAGAATTCTTAAAATGAGCACAAAACGGATATTATGTATTTTGAATCATTCACGAGCGAATTTTTGCGCACCCACAAAACGCATGCCCAACAACTATTGAGTTCACGAACGTTTTTTGTTGCTGTTTTGAGTTGAGCATTCGCGAGAATTCGAGAATTTTTGTTTTCATTTGTGAGAGAATGTTAGAAAGAATTTCAACCACCAAACGAAACGAAGGAACGTTGTTGTGTGCTCTCACTCATTTGTTATGTGTGTGCGAACATTCTTTGGTGAATGCTCGTTTGGTAAAGAATTTATCGCCATAAATTCATTTGTAAAATGAGCACAAAACGAAAAGAATGTATTTTGAATCATTCGCGAGCGAATTTTTGCGCACCCTGGGAATAACAAAACACATGTCCAACAACTATTGAGTTCACGAACGTTTGTTGTTGCTGTTTTGAGCATTCGCAAGAATTCGGGAATGTTTGTTTTCATGTGTGAGAGAGTGTCAGAAAGAATTTCAACCACCAAATGAAACAAACGGTCTTTGTTGTGTGCTCCCACTTGTTTGTTATGCGTGGTTTTATATTTGTCGGGATCGGGATCGGTGTTGAGAGTTTCTCTCCCTTGAGAGAGTAATTAGAGTTGCGCTATTTTTAATTTTGTAACAAGCGTACTTTTTGTTCACAAAAGGTACGAATTGACATAAACGTACCAAAACAAAAATTAGATTTTTTTATTATTCGTGAATACATTTACGCTTAAATTATAACATATATTATTTACGCATATAACAGGTATAAATATTGACCAATATTTCTCGGTAATTATGATTTATTATCATTTGAAGTAGAATTTTAGGTACCTTTTCGTACTTTTTTGTTCCTACCTGTGTTAATGTTTTCCAACACAATTCACAATTTACCACTGAGAGGGAGAGAAACTCTCAACACCGATCCCGATCCCGACAAATATAAAACCACGCTATGTGTGTGCGAACATCCTTTGCTCGTTTCGTAAAGAATTTATCGCCATAAATTCATTCGTAAAATGAGCAAAAAACGAAAGGAATGTATTTTAATTCATTCGCGAGCGAATTTTTGCGCACCCTGGTTTGAACTTACTACTGAGTATCAAAGAAAAGAACGCAGACAATAAATGTTTGAACAAAAACTTCCAATGCCCTTCGAAACGTTACTCGAACGAATTCATTTACACCAACGCTTCCATCAAACCTCTCTGTCACTATGCGATGCAACAACACCTAAAATTCGCCGAAAGACTGGAGCATCACGAAAATCCATTAATGAACGAAATCTTTGAAGCAAACCACAATACCACATGGACTTCGTCTACATACCTATCGTCAGTAGGAATACTTCACGAAGATCTTAATAATGTCAATCTAACCTCACCTCCTCAATTCTATATCAAGGCTGTGCCTTGTTCGCATCGAGGATAAAATCTTACGTCTCCAGTATTATATGTTTTTAATGTTTTTTGTATATACGCTTATAATACAATTATATGAACGCTATAATTTCGTAATCTCAATTATAAAGATTATTATCTGTTTATACTTGTATATGTACATACTGTAATTGTACTTTCGATTTACATTGTTATAAAAAAAAAACGATTATTGTTAATTTCATGTTTTTATTGTTACAGGAAATTTATTGTTATCCTGTTTTCTGTTAGGTTGTTTCCCTTAATATTGTTAATATCAGACCAAGCTCTGTACAACACCGTAAATGTCGTGAGCAAACATTGTTTTTTATACTGTCACTATATTACATTAAATGTATTTTAAAAGAACTATTAATTCGTATCGAATTGAAGATGTCAACACTGTTAGAGTTTATTAGTTCAATACGTTTACAGAACTAAAATCAACATATGCTATTGTTTGTTACTAAATATAAAATTGTAATATCTGATAAAAAGAAGTCTCAATAAAGAAAAATTGAATTGAATTGAATTGAACGCAGACAATGTTATTATTACATTGTCAACATTTATGTACACTCAGAGCTTATGACTGATTTACAATACATTTTTATTGTACCATGGATAGATACATCACGAAACAAGCTCTGCGTTTAAGGCGATTACCCAAATTCCATCCATATGTATATGAATTTATTCACGTCAGAAGTTAGATACGTGTATTTCGATGTATTTTATGAATTAGGCACTAGCCTAAATAGAAATAAATGTGCTTCTTCATCTAACACTATATATGTTTCGATACATAAAAAAATATTTTCGCGATTTTGTATTTGGGTAATGCGGACCCTATATTTCATATTTTCCTACGAATACACATTATATCAGCTACGAGCCTTACACGTAACACGACATATTCGGACGACGTTTTTCGATGTTAATCTTATGCATTTATATGAATGCAACAGAAAAACATCGATCGTACGACGTATTTCAGTTTTTCAATAATTGTGGGGAAATTTAAAATTTTTGTACGGCAAGTCAGTCAGATTATATAATATGTGTAACGCTGTATTTCTGTCTTACCAAAATTCTACAATTTAACTTTACCTTTTATGATATTCACTTATTTAACGCAACAAAAAAGTGCCAATATATTGTTGTTCAGTTGACAACATGTTTAAATTTCCACCTCTTTCGAAAACCTACGTCAAAAGTAAATTTCTTCTTCTTCGGGCTTGGCTTGAGGTGCGATATTGCGTGTAGATGAGCTGGAAGTAATTGGAGCTGTCAATGCATTTATAGAAGATTTGAGTGGGATTTTTGTCGAATTCGATTGAGTTATGTGCTTGCTAGATGTGGGAGTAGTACAATTCACTGAACCCAGCGAATAACGCTGGCCGTAGGTAAATGTGGAAGAAGACTCAGTACGGGTAACAACCGCTGACGGTGGAGATGTCAAGGCCGTTGTTGTGTTGCTCATTGGCGTATGCGGATGTTGTATTATTGCAGGAGAACTACCAGTTCGGGAATGTTGCGGAATCAATGGGTTTGAAGGGTTGTTAGAATTATTAGGCGGCAAGGGCGTCAATTTTTTGTCTGCCAATTTTAAAGGAAACATTTGTGTAATACCGCCGACGGAAGATGTTGAGGAATTATTGTTTGTAGTAAAACTGTTGGACTTATCAATTTTGACATTGGAAGAGCTGCTGCTAGGCGTTGTCGACGCCGAAGAAAGCGATGACAATTTCATGGGAAGTTTTTGTTTAACAACGTTTTGTTGTACTTTGGGGGCATTTGTAGCACTCAATAAATGAGCAGGAGGAGTTTTGGATATCGTTGAAGCTGTGCGCCATTTATCTTTGCGCCTTTCTACAGTATTTAACGATGAACCATGAGCTGATATCGACGAAGTGGAGAAGTCCTGGGTTTGTGAGTCATGCGTATCATGGTCCATGTCATTGTTGTTAACGGTTGATGTTGGCATCAGTGGACTGGATATGTTTAAAGGCGTATTAGGGGATATTAGCAATCCCTGACTGGATAAGACTTCCATTTTACGATATAATTGTTCACGTTGCTGTTTAATGTCCTCCTGCTGTAAATTTAGTTGTTCCTGTAGTTTATCCATTGCCGCCTTCTTTTCGTTCAAATCTTGTTCTTGTTGATCTTTTTGTTTGATCCAAGCCGTTTTCTCTTCCTGTAATTTATCTTGCAAATTACGCAGTTCTTCCAGTTGGTCGTTATGAGTGTAAGAAGCTCGTGGACTCTCCTTGTACAGTGCTAGCTGTAGCTGAAGAGAATGAATAGTAGTCATTTGTTGCGATATAATACATAATAGTGTATGCAAGTTATGTTTAACTTGTAAATAAGCTAAATTGTTATCTTTGGTAGCTACTGACGACTGGTCGTACTGCAGTGCATTTTCGTAGTCCATATTTGAGGAAGGCATGATATTACTCACTATTGAAGTGTTTTTTACTTCTCGTTTTTCTTCGAGTTCCTGCAGTCTTGGGGTAAGAATCTGTAACGTTGCCGTCTTATTAATGTCTCTACATGAGTACGGGCCTTTGGCTCTTTTTTCATCGAATCCCGCAAATGTTTCAGCTCTTTTTGGTAAAATGGGAGAATTGTAGGTATCACTTTGCTTTTCGCCAACGGAGCTAACTGATCTAGAAACCGGTTGCCCAGTAGCAGCGGTATAAACACTGGAGGCCAACTGCGTAATATCCTGCACAGTATTCAAAACCTTCTTCCATAACTCGTTAGTATCACAATCCGTACCTATTGCTATGTCTTTGTAAGTTCCATAGGTTGCCAGAAATTGTGCTGCTGATATATTGGATGAAGAGACCGGTGCTGTTTGCGACCCGTCTTGTTCAGCATTAAACGACTTTTGATCTTTTTGCATTAAATTGAGTTGCAGAAGGATCTTCTCTTCTAATAAAATAGCTTGTTCGATGTCCTTTTGGCGTATTTTCTCTATTATTTCCCTTTTATTCACGCCAATTCGTATTTTTTCTTCATGAGTCAAATCGTCTGATTCAATTACATCTGTGGATGGGCAATCTAGAACAGCCTGTCTTATAGATTGAATCCAGATATTTTTGTCCTTTGGAGTTTGAACTTTCAGTTCGTACATCTCTGGAAACAACGGATTGGATGATATTATGTAAATACCACGTGATTCGGTGCCTGCCTTTTCTCGTATTAATAACTTTTGCAGTGGAACAACGCCGGCTTTGTGTTCCGGTGTGAAAAATGTGTACTTATTGTGAGCCGAGTTTTCGCTAAGGAAACATAAGCAGTCGGTCAAAACGACAACAAGTACTAATTGCATTTTGGAACGACCTTGCATTAATGTTGCTAAACCTTCGAATTTCAATCTCCTCTTTGATTCAAAGCCTACATCCTGTTTGCGGAATGGTTTATTTTTATATATGGCAAATGATTTGTTATCGATCCTATTGTAAATATCAATTTGCCTCTCTCGCAATTCCTTCTCTGCTACACAGGCGTCAACATCAACCAACAGCTCCTTTACCAATGCGAGTGCATGTTGCAACTTTTCATATTCTAATTTGTCATCCCTTCCGCTTTTAAGAAGAGGTTCAATGAGTAGAGGGTATTTTGTTAGCCTTTGGGTGACGAACAATATGCATTCTGGAATGCCCTTTTTCTTAAGCAAAGGATTCGTCAAGCAGTGCTTATACCATTCGGAAAATGTTGGATCTCTTCCGGTCATGTAGGATTTGAATTGTTCCAATGCAGAACGATGGTTAGCACAGAATTCTCCATAAGCAAGCCTTAAATGTTGGGCCTTCTCCAGTGAAAAGAAGTCAAGCAATATGTCCGATATAGAATCTACTACAAAGTTCTCTTTTTGCTTTTGACGTAACTTCTTTAAGAAATTACAATGCAATTCTGTTAATTCTTGCAACCTCGGAAACATTTTATTGCAATTTATCGTTGGGAAATGTCGCTCAATACTTTCCACAAAGACTTTTTGCATAACCAACAATGTTTGACAATGGTGTTTTTCGGTCATTATAAACTCGTATATGTGTTCCTGCCTCTTTATCTGATGATCTTTCAAAGATTTTAAAATATCCTTTGGTATTCCGGGAGACCAAGAGTCGTGTTCCTTCAACTCAATGCCGAGCACAGGGTCCGCCTTCAAATCCTGGGCTTCTATGGGAGCATCGTTCAAAAATTCCGATCTGATAAGTGGTGCATTGTCATCATTAAAATTCGTACTTTGTTCGGGTCCATCATAAAAATCTTGTCCCACATCCGTTCTTTCGTTACCACTAATACTTTTTTTGCCAATTCCAAGAGAGGCACTGTGTTTCTTTCCCTTACATTCCATTTGGTGATCTTTTATTGTACCCAGCGTTATATTCACGCCACATGCATCGCAATTGGTCACTTGTCCCCCAATCGACTTCATCTTTGCTTTATCTTTCTTTTTGCGAAAAAACAACGAACCTCTTTTCCTTCTCTTCTCTACATTGTCATATACTTCTATTTTTGCATGAGCTCTCAACAGACTTTGGTTTTCATCTTCGCTGTCAGTTAAATGCCTTGCAATGGCTTTAATATCCTCCTTCGCAACTATTGATGAAGTTGATATACTTTTTTGCAGCGGAATACGGCTTATTATTTCGGTGGCTAAACTTCTTTTTGCAGCTATCCTTTCAAAGTCTCTTGCTAGTTCCGCTTCATTTAGGGAATGCGTAGATATACCTGTAAAATAAAATGGGTGGTATAAGAGTCAACGTTTTAAATATTTTTTTTTTTTAAATTGACAATGAATTTTTAGCAATTTACTTTTATCGGTATTGAAGGAATTATTACTGGCTATAGCATTTAGTACGACTAATCTATTAAATGCCCTACAAACAGAAGTGGTATGTACCGAATCATGTTGTTGTATATATTAAAGAAAATCGGGAAATCATAATAATCTTAAATTAGGCATCTATCGGGTTTGACATTCGTTCTGTTAAAGTTACAGGTCGAAGATCAAAAGTTCGATTAAATTGAAAATGAAAATTTTATTCGTATTTATAATAAATTAATTCCAAATCAAGTTTGTAGGGTATCAAAAAGTCTACTTTATATATGAATGCATAGTAATATCTTATCAGACGTTCAAATATTTCGATAAGGAATAGCAAACCAATATTTGGTAAGATATTGAAAAATAGTCACTGTCTTCAATAGTTTCATACCAGCCATGACTGCAAATCGTTAGACCCATGGATACGAATAATTATTATTTCCTTACTTTTCGGACGAAGTTACCCAATTAAAAGGTGCCATTGGCAAACACACAGCAATATGTTTGAAGTGGAATGAGTCCAATCACTAATGGCAGTCAGTTTGTTGGGCACTTTCATTCCTAAGAATAATCTTCTTACCGACTTTTTAGTTTAATATTAAATTTAATAATTACAAGTTTATGATCATAACCAGGGTGCGCAAAAATTCGCTCGCGAATGAATTAAACTGCATTCTTTTCGTTTTGTGCTCATTTTACGAATGAATTTATGCCGATAAATTCTTTCCAAAAAAATTCTCGCCAAAGAATGTTCGCACACACGTTGTTTTTTTGAGTTTTTCAAAAGAATGTTCTTCAGCAACAAATGCTCGCGAAAGAACGAATCGACGACGCTTGCAGCGATATTTTATCGTTCATGAATTTTTCGTACAATGCGAATTTCGCGAGAGATTGCAAATGCTTGTTCATTCATTGTAACTTTATCATTCGCGATAAATTGAATACACACCATCACCTTCCAAAAGAAAAGGCCGAACCCAATTTTGCTTTTGTTTTTGCTCTTTTTTCATTGTTATCAGCTACTTCTTCCTCCAATATTAAAAAATGCTGATGACCATGTCGTCGTCCATAGTTATTAATACTAAACTATTTCTCAAAATAATCAAAACCAATATTTTCAATATAAAAACCAGTAAGGAAAGTAGTAAAGTCGGACGGGGCCGACTATATGATACCCTTCACCACTATGGGTATATTAAACAGAACTATTAACATGAAATATATATGGGAGCTATATTGATCCGATTTTCTCGAAACTTGGCAGACATCACTCTAGGCTCAATTCAGTACGTTATGCCAAATTTCGTGCAAATAAGGATATATAGGGACTTTGGTGCACCATTTACATGAAATCGGACGAAACTATATATGGGAGCTATATCTAAATCTGAACCGGGCCCCCAGGGCCCGGGCCCCCAGGGCTCACCCCTGTGTACGTCCCTGATGGCAGGTATATGTAAATCTGAACCGATTTTCTCAAAACTCGGCAGACATCACTCTAGGAACAATTCAGTACGTTATGCCAAATTTCGTGCAAATCGAAAGATATATAGGGACTTTGGGGCACCATTTACATGATCGGACGAAACTATATATGGGAGGTATATCTAAATCTGAACCGATTTTCTTAAAACTTGGCAGACATCACTCTAGACTCATTCAGTACGTTATGCCAAATTTCGTGCAAATAGAAAGATATATAGGGACTTTGGTGCACCATTTACATGAAATCGGACGAAACTATATATGGGAGCTATATCTAAATCTGAACCGATTTTCACGAAACTTGGCAGACATAATTCTAGGCTCAATTCAGTACGTTATGCCAAAATTGGTGCAAATCGAAAGATATATAGGGACTTTTGATGCACCATTTACATGAAATCGGACGAAACTATATATGGGAGCTATATCTAAATCTGGACCGATTTTCACGAAACTTGGCAGACATCATTCTAGACCTAAATGATTAGGCTGTACTAAATTTCGTGCAAATCTAAAGATATATGTGGACTTTGGTGCACCATTTACATGAAATCGGACGAAACTATATATGGGAGCTATATCTAAATCTGGACCGATTTTCATGAAACTTGGCAGACATCATTCTAGACCTAAATGATTAGGCTGTACCAAATTTCGTGCAAATCGAAAGATATATGTGGACTTTGCTGCACCATTTACATGAAATCGGACGAAACTATATATGGGAGCTATATCTAAATCTGGACCGATTTTCATGAAACTTGGCAGACATCATTCTAGACGTAAATGATTAGGCTGTACCAAATTTCGTGCAAATCAAAAGATATATAGGGACCGTTTACATTAAATCGGTTAAATATATATATGGGAGCTATATCTAAATCTGAACCGATTTTTCCCAATTTCAATAGGGTTCGTCCTTAGGCCGAATAAGTGACCTATGCCAAATTTCATCCAATTCGGATCATAAATGCGACCTGTACTTTGTTTACAATTTAACATGGACAGACAGACGGACAGACGGACTGACGGAGACTAGAATAGATGTAAATCGACTTAAAAAGTGATTTTTGCATATTCTCAAAAGGAACCATCGTTTCCTTTTGCCTGTTACAAACATATGCACAAAGACATAATACCCTGTACCACAGTGTGGTGAAGGGTATAATTACCAATAGTGTAAATTAGTTTTAAAACATTTTGATCAAACTTTGATCATTGTTGGGGTGTATGATTTGGTATGTAGGAAGTTTTGGAAATTTGTACCAATGTGTACTAAGGTACCAAATTTGGATTTGGGTCAACCGATATAGCTAGAAAGCTGAATTTTAGAATTAGCCTTACCGTTAGATCATAGTATGTGGGTATGGCTGTAGTTTTGTAATAAATATGTGCACAAAATGGTACTATATTTGGTAAAATTTGAATTTTGAGTGAACCAGAGTTGGGATCCTGAAATTTGGAGTTAGGAGCATTGCTGGGGTGCTGTACTTTTGTGTACTAAATGGTACCAAAAATACCAAGAATAAGAATATAATTCCACATACTACATTTATTATTTAAAGACCATTAGGTTAGGTTAGGTTTGGGGATTGGCAGTCACTTATGTGGATGCAGCACTCTGAGACTGTAAGGTCCATTGTGATCATGGAGAGATCTATAGGGGATAGAGATAGATAGAGATGAGAAGCTTAGAAGAAAATATAAGAAGTTAAGTTTGAAATAGTATCGATGGCTATAGAGATCGGACAGAAGATACATTACGTGTCAAGGTTGCACTTTACCAACCACTTTAGGTTTCTAATTATGCTGTAGATTAGAGCAGGTTCGGTTGTTGAGAAGAAGCTAAGACTCGGTAGAAAATGAGCACCCACTAGTCTGTGTCACCTGTAAGCCAGGAGTGGACAGTGACACAGAAGATGCTCAATTGTCTCCGTCAGTAGTTGTATACATCAAGATTTCATTTACTAGCAAAAGCCCTGATATTGCAGTGAACAGTATTGATTCCTGTCATTACTCTTATTTCAGCTTTGCTCAGGTTCAACAGTGAATGTGTCCTTTTGGTAGACAGAGTCGGCCAAATAGATCTTGACACATTGCAACTAGGTTCGGTGTTCGCCAAAGTTCATAGGCTCTTTCGTCGAAGAACGCCTCAAAGTTCCTATAAAGATGACATATGTGTGATTTGATTGAATCATCAATTGCTAGATCTGTGGATTGAGATCCTCGTCTAGCTAATTCGTCTGTTCTTTCATTACCCATGATGTCACGGTGTCCAGGCACCCAACACAGCCGATAGCTGTAAGTTCTTCCAAAGCTGTTCACCACTTCGGTTCAATTTAAATTTTGGGTAAACCCAAAGAGCTGAAATTTTGTACGGATAGGGCTGGAATCTTGAAATTTGAAGTAGGATTGGGATATGCAGGACGTTTTGACCATTTGTTCTAATGTGTACTAAATGGTACAAATTTGGATTTAAGGGTATGTAAGAAGTTTTTGAAATATCTACAAATGTGTACTAAATGACACTAAATTTGATATAATTTGGATTTAGTGAACCGATAGAGCTGGAATCCTGAGATTAGGAATTAATGGGTCGATTACGGATGATAACCATAGTTTAGTGGCAATGCCAGTTGCCATATTTGAATTATGGATGGCAACTGTTGTCAACTTCAGTTGCTTCAAATAGAATTTTTCGGCAACCGTTGCCTCCGCAAAAAAACCTCAAAGCTGCACACACTTTTAAGACAGGAGGAATTGCTGTTGACCGTCGGGTTTTTCGGAAACCAGGGTTTAATGCTTCAACTAAGTATACAGCGGCATCTTTTGGTAGCCGAAAATACGCCTTAAAGCTAAAATGAGCAGTTGATTGAACATCCCTACATTACAAAACAACTTTTTACATCTCTTGTAAGAGCTATGTTATGTTATGAATATGGCTCTGCTGTATGGGATCCTCAATATGCAATATATTCCGATAATATTGAATCTGTGCGGAATAAGTTTCTACATTTTGCACTGAGAGGTTTACATTGGATCTGCGATCAGTTATTAACATATTTATGTTGTGGACTCACAATATTTTTTTCAAAATTTGCCAGTTCATTTCGTCTACGATTACAGATTATAATAATACAGTTTTATAAAATTATAACAAATAAACTTAGCTTTAAAAATTTCTCACAGTAAAAACAGATCAAATACTTACCACCAGTACTATTTCTAGCCGACCTTCTTCTTTGTTCGGTAACTCGAATTGTTTCCTGTTCTTCACTATCCAAGCTTGAAAGACTCACACTTTTATTTGTACAATCTCCACCTGCTGTTAAGTCATCAATGCCAGTCCACGACTTACTGTTGCTGTTGTTCAGTAGGCCATACGACAATATGTGATGATATATGCCATAGGGTCCAGCTCCAGTCGCTCCAGGTACACCATTGTTGGCTGCCGACAGATCTGGTAGTGATGCACTTAATATAGCAGCATTTAAGAGACCATAATTGGAGAGATTATCATTAATATGGGACGAGGATGAATTCTTCATTTGAACAACACTCTCGCGAATGTTTTGTAATTGACTGAGAGTATCTTCAAAAATGTTGTTGTATTTCGAGACATTTGCTGGACTGTGTGGAGTTACATTTATGGTTGGTATCATGTTGTTATCAATATTTCGCGATGGTTGAGGAAACGAACAGTTATTATTTCCGTAAGTCGCCAAAGTTTGAGACCCTGCTTTATTTTTTGCGTTTATTATAGGTATGCAATAATTTTCGCTCTCTTCAGCATTCGTCCTTGCACTATTATTTACACCGATTTCTACTTGTACAGGGACTGCGTTTTTTTCTTCGTTCTGGGCTTGAGAAGTTATTAGTGCCCCAGTAGTATTATTGATATTGTATGATGTATCAGTGTTAGAGGAAATGTTTGAATTCAAAAAGTCCGTGACTTCGTCATTGTCGCTATCATCGGGTGCAGTATTAATCCCTATTACAGCATTGTTATCCATATTAAGGATCGACGACAAATTGCCTTTACGTAAACATGCAAAATAAATATGATTTATTTATTTGATTTATTAAATGTATTATTATTTAGAAACTCTTACCCTTTTCTTCACTGATTTAGATTATATATATTTTACTCTGTTGATTATACAGATTTCTTAAACAGGTAATACAATTGTTGCTTCCAACAAACCCACACCACTACCACTACACAACAAACAAACTATGACGGACTTGAAAACATTAACATCACACAACCCACAACTTTCCATTCTGGAGATGGGGCTAAGGCGTCTATAGGCTTTTTGATTACCAAGGAATGTTTATTTCACACACAAAGTTAGAATAAATCTACTTATTCATGCACTGGTCGGGTTTTCTACGTTTCTTAAAAGACAAAAAAAACTTTCAAAGATTTTTTTCATTTGACAAGCAAACATACTTGTCAAATTTCTGTATACAGGCCAGATTACATAGCCGTTTCGTACATGTATCAACGTCGTACATGTATAACGCCGTGTAAGCTAAGTTGATTTCAGAAAAAATGAAATGCAGTTGGCCACATCAGTATAGACCATCTGTCAATTTTTTTCTGGTTGGCAACATTGCACATCGAATTCATCTTTGACAGTTAATGGATTCATCAGCTGCGCTCAGGATGCAATAATAAGGTGATGTATCAAAACAAAAACATTTGCTTTGGTCTCGACCATGGCACAATGAATAGGTAGTCCATTTAGCGCAGCTGATGTCTTGATTAACTGTCAAAGTAGGTAATTTCTACTTGAATTCGATGTGCAGTGTTGCCAACCATTTGAAATATTATATGGAAAAAATTGACAGATAATCGAGACAAAAACAAAGGTTTTTGCTGGTATACATCACCTTATTATTGCATCATGGTCTCGACTATCTGTCAATTTTTTCCTTATAATATTTAACATGGTTGGCAACACTGCACATCGAAGTCAAGTAGAAATTACCCACTTTGACAGTTAATCAAGACACCAGCTGCTCTAAATGGACTAACTATTTATTGTGCCATGGGACTACCTATTTATTGAGCCATGCCCGTCACACATTAACATTTCAGTATGTGCTATAAACAACAAGGTGTTCTTATTTAGTCTCCATTTATATTTTATTGTTTTATATGAAAAGTCATCAGATGAAATAAAGTTCTGGAATATGTAATTTTGGGAAATTTATCCTTTTTGACAAATCAGATCCATTGACACTGTTTTTAAGTCTAATATTTAAATTTTGGCTTTTGTTTACGTTTTTAATTTTTTTCTCGGTTTATTCCTTACTTCTATATTTTTGCTGTAGATAGTACGTTTTTAAATTGGAAGTCAATTCACAATAATGGATTTTGACAGCAAACTTAAAAGGCAGCTGATAACCATGGCCTATAAATAAGGTAACCCAGGGAGACCAGCTGAATATCTGCGCCACTCAAGTTTGCTGTCAAAATGCATTATTGTGAATTGACTTACATTTGGTCTGTTCCCGTACTGCAAGAATCTACTCGATTTTACTATTTTCTTCGATATCATAAAGGAAAAAAGTGTTATCGGAGTAAAAAATAGTAGATTCTTGCAGTACGGGAACAGACCAATTATGAAAACGTAAACAGAGTCGAAAATTTTGACTTGAGAAAAAACAGCTGTTTTCCGATTTCGATTGCTACTTGGTTGACCTTTGGTCTGTTCCCGTACTGCAAGAATCTACTCGATTTTACTATTTTCTTCGATATCATAAAGAAAAATTCGTTATCGAAGTAAAATGTGGTAGATTCTTGCAGTACGGGAACATACCACTTATTTGGTCTGTTCCCGTACTGCAAGAATCCACTCGATTTTACTACTTTCTTCGATATAATAAAGGAAAATTCGTTATCGTAGTAAAAAGTAGTAGATTCTTGCAGTACGGGAACAGACCAATTCATAGATCTTGCTGATAACCAGCTGGTCTACCTGGGCGACCTTATTTATAGGCCTTGAGAAAGTCGATTAATCGATTAGTCGAAAGTCGATTTACTTATCCCTAGTAGTAGAAATATATAATTTGCACTTTTCACGTCGAAATAAGAGGGAATAGACTATTTGTAAATTTATTATATATCCAAGCGCATACTTCAACAATGCGGGTAAGTTTACTATCATTTAAAATTTAATTAGGCAATGGTTGGTATTCGGAATAAACAGCCACGCAAGCTAATTCCTTGGAATATGCATGTACTAGTTTTATATGACTAACAAATTGTACTTTCAGTACTACACGACGCTAGCGGTGGTCATCCTACTGACGTTTGGTAAGTAATCGTCATAGTGATTTTGGACAGTAAAATATTTCAGTTTGTTTTTCAGTGTTTGGAACAGAATGCTTTTATGTACCGGGAGTGGCGCCGGTTGAGTTCGTTAAGGGACAGAAAATTGACGTGAAAGCTGTCAAAATGACCAGCAGCCGTACACAATTGCCTTATCAGTATTACTCTCTTCAGTTTTGTTTGCCTAAAAATGGTACACTTATCTATAAGTCAGAGAATTTGGGTGAAGTTCTTCGCGGAGATCGCATCGTTAATACTCCGTACGATGTACAGATGGCTGTAAATGTCAACTGTAAGTTATTGTGTAATAAAAAGGACAACTCGCCCCTGAATTGGGAACAACCGCAGTCAGCAATGGTGGTCGAGCGAATAAAACATGAATATTTCGTTCACTTATTGGTCGACAATTTACCTGTAGCCACACGCATAGTGAATCTTAATAATCCTACTGAGGTTAGCTACGAACATGGCTATAGATTAGGTCTTGTAGACGGTGATAACGTGTACATTAATAATCATCTCAAATTTATTTTATCGTACCATATGCATACCAAGTAAGTCTTCTACATTACATCTAACATAAGGATAATTATTTAAAAGTTCATCGTTGTACCTTATAATTATAGAGATAAATACCGTGTTGTGGGCTTTGAAGTTGAAACAGCTTCAGTAAATTATAAGGACATCAAGTTTGAGGGAGACAACTGTAATTTTCCTGACAATGCGCGACCTCAATTGGTGAATCCCAATTCCAACACACAATTATATTTCACATATTCCGTTGAGTGGAAGGAATCTAAAGTTAGTTGGGCATCCCGTTGGGATATATATCTGGGAATGAAAGACGTACAAATTCACTGGTTCAGCATTATAAACTCTTTAGTAGTAGTATTTTTCCTTTCTGGTAAGATCCATTCTACATAATATGGCGATGCGATTATTAATTTTAAGAATATTGTAGGCATTCTGACAATGATCATGATACGCACTTTGAGACGAGACATTGCGCGTTATAACACCGATGACAATATTGAGGATACGTTGGAAGAAACGGGATGGAAGTTGGTCCATGGAGATGTATTTCGTCCTCCAAAAAATACACGTTTATTTTCCGCAGTTATTGGAAGTGGCATTCAAATATTTTTTGTGTCATTAATAACGATATGTAAGTATACAAAAAATATTGTATTCCATAACTGGACTACAAGTCGGAATTGTCTATCTTTATTTTTTCGTCATTTCTAATGTATTCGTTCCATTAAATTGTTTTTAAGTTAATTATCTTCAGTACAAGAAACTAGAATTCATGAATGAAAAGCAATCATTTTATATATTTTCTTTTTTGTTAATAACATCTAATGTATTTATTTATAGTCTTCGCAATGCTTGGAATGCTTTCTCCATCTTCCCGGGGAGCTCTAATGACATCAGGAATATTTATGTACGTCTTCATGGGTATAATAGCTGGTTACTTTGCTGCACGCTTATACAAAACAATGAAAGGTCGAGAATGGAAAAAATCGGCATTTCTAACCGCTACTTTATATCCTAGTATTGTGTTTGGGTAAGAACTCGTTAAAACAAAAGAAGAAACGTTTGTTATCATTTTCATTTACAATTCACTTAGGACCGGATTCTTTTTGAACTTTTTTATTTGGGACAAAGAATCCAGTGGTGCTGTGCCATTTAAAACAATGATATCATTACTTTTATTATGGTTTGGCATATCCGTCCCACTAGTATATTTAGGCTATTACTTTGGCTATCGTAAACAACCATATCAGCATCCCGTTCGTACAAATATGATACCCCGGCAAGTTCCAACGCAGCACTGGTATATGAACGTATTACTAAGGTAAGATCTTTCAATGTTATAGTAAGTACATATTTACCTAACCGAATATATATCTGTTATTTGTATTCTTTTAGCACCCTGATGGCTGGTATACTACCTTTTGGCGCTGTATTCATTGAATTATTTTTCGTTTTTACTGCCATATGGCAAAATCAATTTTATTATCTATTTGGATTTTTATTTTTGGTGTTTTGTATATTGGTCGTAAGTTGCGGTCAAATATCTATAGTTATGACATATTTCCAATTATGTGGAGAGGTAATATTGAACATCATATTGTTCAAAAGAAATTTTAATATACCAATTTAATTGCAGGATTATCGTTGGTGGTGGCGAAGTTTTATAGTTTCTGGTGGATCAGCTGTATATGTCCTTTTCTACAGTGTTTTTTACTTCTTTACTAAATTGGAAATTACTGAATTTATTCCCACTCTGTTATATTTCGGATACACTAGTAAGTAATCGCA